CAGGTTCACTTTTCTGTGCCTGTGATCATCACGGGGTGGGGGTGAAATTTGAGTTAAATTGAAGGTTCCAGGCCAGCTCAGTGCAGGTTTTGTGTCCACTGCAGCTTTTGGCTCCTGCCATACTCACACACAACGAACCCAAAATTTACGATGTGTGACTTCTCTCTAACTTCTGCCACCTTCAGGTGGAAGGTCATTTATTTAGGTAATTTATTCTGAGGTTGCTGTCCATTTTTTAGGAAACCAGAATGCAGGAATGAAGAGTTTGCACATAAATTTGCTGGTGCTTCCTTTACACCTACATTCTTTAACAAGGTGAAGGACTAGATGGAAAAACAGAGTGAAAACCACTCAAATATTGCTGAAAGGGAAAGAAACAACTCAGTATCAGAACACAACCAGTGTAAAACGAAATGGAGAATTCAGTTTGGGCAAAACTGATCAATGGGCTGGCATTTGTAAAGGCCAAGTGTTGATTGCAGAGATAAAATGCTCGGTGGGGACTGAGACTGGCTGGTTATTTTTAGCATTTCCTCCCTTGTGTTTCAGGATGTGCCTGTGCCTGCTCTCATGCTGGAATGACAAGATATTAATCCCTGAGCAAAGGCCTATTAATCACCTGCTTTATTCTGTTTATGTAATGCAGTTAAATATATTCTGGGAGCACGTGAGGTTTGGGACCTGGAAATGATTTCACCTCCCAGTGGCAGCTGCCCCACATCTGATTTTTTTTTTTTTTTTTTAATTTAATCTCAAACTGATTTATCAGTAAAATGCCTTCATTTCTCTGCTGTTGGTATTTAAGCCACAAAAGCAGCATCTGCTCCTCTCTGCCTCCCTCCCCTGTGCCGGTGATGGCATTTTGCAAAATTTTAGATGAAACAAAATTCCTGTCTGCACTAGGAGAAAGGGAGAAAAGTGTCATTGAGGCCTTGTGGCTTTGCAGGGGAATCTCATGGAATTCCAGACTGCTTTGTTTTGGAAGGGGCATTTAAACCCATCCTCTTTGCAGTACCCCAGTTCCTCCAAGGCCTTGGACATTTCCAGGGATGGGGCAGCCACAGCTTCTCTGCTGCAAGGCACTGTCCAAGTGATGGTGGGTCAAAAATATTCATTTTCTGTGTGTTTTGCTGGTTTTCTGCTCTGTTTTCATCTAACAGTAACTATATTTGTGTGAATTTCAGGATTTTGGCATGAATGCTAACCTTAGTAATAAACTTAGCAGCTGAAAGCCTTGAGCAGAGGTATTTGATCCTGGTTGTGTTATTAAAGAGCACAAAAGTATTTATTTCTGGCTTGCAGGTAAGGATCAATATTTGATGGCGCGTTGAGCTGTGAAATTTGTGTCAGGAAAGGGGAAAAACCCTGCTGAGCCTTATTTCTGTAGGGAAATGCTCACAGGAGTAGTGGAGAAAGGGCTAAAACCCAGCAGGTTTTAATTCAATGAGCTGGCTTAATTCAGCCAGTGCACCAAAATTATTTTGATATTCTTGATGTGAGGATATGCAAAATTAAGTCTTGAAGCTTTACAGTGGTGGTAGCTGATCAATCTACATTTCTAATGGCTTGATGAGACTTTATTTAATGGCACTGGAAGAGTCAAAGAGAATGAAAAGGGTAAGAAATGGACAGTGGTGTTATTTTCAAAATGTAATGCTGGCTGATTTGGGGAGTGATCACTTGGGGAAGTTGGGAATTTTGGAGAAGTGTGTGATTTGCAGTTGCCTGAGGAAGTATTTCCTGCATGGGCAAATCTCTGTAAAATGGAGCAGTTCACCTCAAGGCAATTCAAACTGCAAAATATGTGTGGGAAGAAAAAAAAGCTTTTTTCTTTTTTTTTTTCTTTTAAACACATCCTCTGTTTACCATGCTGTTCAAATAATGTGATCACCAGGTTCCAGGCACTGATTTTTGTCAGCTGCTTACAGAACTGGGTTCTGTTTGCTGTGGGGCCACACCAGCAGCAACCTTTGCCTCCCATGAGGTGGAAATTGGGCTGAAATATTTGAATATTTGCAGAAAGTTGCCACAATTATTGGAGCTAAAATTTTGTGAGCTGAAAGCTGGAGTATTTCCCTGTTTTCCAGTTAAGTTTTAGTGGGATTTCCTAAAACTGAGAGATTACATCTAGGCTGTGTCAGAGCAGGCAAGGTCAGAATGTTAGAGGAGGATTCAGAAATTTGCTCTTCTTATAATGGATTATTCCTTCATGGTTCCTTGAAATTCCCATAGGAAACTGATGTTTTCTCTCTGATTCATTTCTGGCAGCTCTACCAGGAATAATTACAGCCCAGGCAGCATCAAGGGAGGAGTATTTGCTTCAGTGAGTGAAACATTTCCACTTAGGAGGTCAATAATGCTGCTCTGGCAAGGCTCAGACCACAGGAGCGCCGTAATTCATCTCCTGAAGGTTTTGAATAAACCTTTCCTCCTGTTCTGCATCTCCCCTGAGGAGGAGATGGGAGTGCAGCATGCACTTGGTGCCTTCTTGTGTGGAAAATGGAATATTCACCTTAGGAAGGCATCTTCAGATCAGCCAGCCAGGTGGAGAGGTGTTGGATAAAGCCCTTTTCTGACCCAGAGATGGGGCAGCTGAGAGGTGTTTGAAAAACTTTTATTCTATTTTCAGTCTCATGTGAAGGGTGAGACAATACAGATGTTATAATTCACAACAATCAGAAGCCAACTATTTCCTAATTATAAATGTTTATTGGCCTGTCAGCTTTAGCCACACCATGCTGTAAATGCCTTAAAGTTAATAATCTAAAATTATCCCTCGTGGCTCCTACTCCAATGCATCTTTCACAGTTCCATTTCTCCAAAGTTCCCAGTCTTATTTGCAAGGCCATCCTTTCAAACTTATTTCTAGTTCCATTTCTCCCTCAGCAATATCTGTCCTATTCCATGGCATTTCTAAATCAGCATTTCTTATCTCAAGGTTTGCACACAGATGTGTGAGCCTTCTGTCAGGCTTGGAGAATTCCCTACAAATCCATTTCCCACAGGGAGAGATTATCCTCCTTTATGCTGGAGGGTTTTATGGGTTTGTGGGACAGCCTGGAATGTTCTTTCATCAATAATTGCAGGAACTGGCATTGCTTTCTTTGGAATACTGAGAGTTCTAAACCTGTGGTGGTTCATTCATTCCTGGGAAGTGACCCTTTATCCCCATCCAGTACCCTGTGGAATTTGTTGCTTCCTTCCCTAAGCATGAAATTCCTTTTCTCACTGTTGGTACCCACCCCCAGTTCCCTTGGATGAAACAGGAAAGGGTGGTGGGGTGGTTCTTTTTAGGGAAAAGCCCTGTCACAATAATTGAATTGTGCTTTATTTTGCATTGTTGGATGTTCCCATTTGTTTTCTCTGCTTGACTGGTTCATAGCAGCCTTTAAAAAAAAAAAAAGCAGTTCTGCCTCTTAGTTGAAGCAATAAATATTCCATTTTATTCATCTCTGATCTGGAGGAAGAGGGAAAATCTCACAAAAAAGGATATTCTTTGATAATTCCTGCTCTCATAAAGACAGTAAACACCGATGCACCTCCAGCTCAGCAGTGTTACATCACCCCCACAAAAGCAAACAAAAGAGTCCCCCAGGGCAAGTTTTAGTGCTGATGAGGAGGTTGGATGATGTGAAGTGCACAAGGACAGCTGGCTTTGATGCTGTCCTGCTGTGCCAGGTGTTTGGATGTCACAGCAGTGGGGAGAGGGAGAGGCTGAAGCTGCAGAGATGCTGAAGCTGAGCAGAGATCAGGCTCAGGCTGCACGCTGGAAATGCAGTTTTGCATCAGCCCACTCCTCCATGCGTTCAAAAGGGGATGTTTGGCTGGAGGATGGGTTTATTTTTAGGGTTTGGTGGTTGCAGATGTTTTTCTTGGTGGGTGGGAGCGTTCACAGCACATCCCAGGGCCCAGAGCTGCTCCTGCTGCTGGGGCTGAGCACATCCCCTCAGCTGGAGCAGCTCCCCACCCTCTGTGTCGTGGCACTTTGTTGTGACAGCTGCATTTTTCATCCCTTGGCATCCTCTTGGGCCTTTTTTTTTTTGAATATTTGAAAAAATCTGGGTGTTATGGGTAGCTCAGGAGGGAGAGGGAGACCCAGGGATGCCCAAGGATGCTACAGGAGATTTTTTTCCAGGCTCTGCATATTGAAAGCCACATTCCTCTTGTCTGTCTTGTGCTGGTAAAGAGGGAAACAAGGATTTGAGAATCTGTTTGATTTAAGAATCTGATTTAATTCAGAGCTGAGGATGTGCTGCATCTGTGTGGTGTTCACCTCATTTACCCATTGTCATGGCAACAGCTGGGAGGGCTGTCCCTGTCTCACTGATCCCAGCACTAAATCTGCTGGGTTTATTGCAGGTGGAGCACCAGCCCTGCCCTGTTCCTGCTGTAGCTCATGGAAAAATAACAGGAAAAGACTGAAATTAGTCTGACATTGGCCATGTTTGAAAAACTGCCCCTACTTGGGGAAAACAGGCAAACACTTCTTTTGGGTTTTAAAACTTCCTGTATCCTCAAATGAAAACCAAAACTGACTTGAAAGGCAAGTGAAACTCAACAGTGCTGTACTAAGATGAGATGCATGTGAGACTTCCTGAAAGATGGGCTGAGATTCACTTTTATTGCTAAAATCCTACTGCTGGTGTTTTCTTGGTAATTTCTTTCTATTTTCTTTACTCTGCTGCTGTTGTGTCTCTGGGCTTATTCTTGAGTTTGGAATCAAGAGCTGGTACTGGAATTTTGTAGACTCTTAGCCCAGTTATCTTCCCTCATGCACAACTCTGGAAGGAGTTTTTGGATATTATTGCAGATGCTGATGAGCCTTGGAAGCCTGGTTAGTTTTTATATCACCCCCATCAGTGCTTGAGCTGTGAGAATCCCAGTTGGGAATAAAACAGATTTATCTCCTCATCAGGTCAGGCTTTTTCTTGCAGATCATTTTGAGGGGGGGAAATGTGAAGTGTGCAGTGGCACCACCTAAATTCCTGTTGTATTTCCAGGTGTGCTGACCATGCTGCTGCTGATCGTCTCCGAGAGCTCTGTGGAGGAGCAGTTTTAGGGTTTGCTCTGCAGATCCATGGAGCCGGACCCCCATGCCAGCATGCAGGTCGGGATGAGGGTAGTCCGTGGCGTGGACTGGAAGTGGGGCAGCCAGGACAGCGGCGAGGGCAACGTGGGCACCGTGGTGGAGATCGGCCGCACGGGCAGCCCCACCACGCCCGACAAGACCGTGGTGGTGCAGTGGGATCAGGGCAACAGAACCAACTACCGCACGGGCTTCCAGGGAGCCTACGACCTGCTGCTCTATGACAACGCCCAGATCGGTGAGCACGGCGGGCACAGCCTCTGGCACGGCCACCTCCTGCCCCACGGCACTCCTGCCCCCGTGCAGAGCCATGCTGAGCCTTGGTGGTGTGGTCAGGGCATTCCTGGTTTGTTCTGTGTGAAGGTTCTTCTGGGAAAGGGCACAGCCACCTCCTGCCCCTGTCCCGTGTGCTGTGGCACCACCTGGACATGGCCTGACTGTTCCTGTGTCCCTCTATGTGAAGGCTCTGCTGGAACAGGGCCTGAGAAAGGCCACCTTCTGCCAGTGTCCCATGTCCTGGAACAGCTTTGGCACCACCTGGACATGGCCTGGCCGTTCCTGTGTCCCTCTGTGTGAAGGCTCTGCTGGAACAGGGCCTGAGAAAGGCCACCTTCTGCCAGTGTTCCATGTCCTGGAGCTTTGGCACCACCTGGTTTTCCTTTGTGTGAAGGCTCTGCTGGAACAGGGCATGGGAAAGGGCACAGCCACCTCCTGTCCCTGTCCCATGTCTTGGCACAGCCTTTGGGGTCCTGGTTTCCCTCTGTTCAAAGGCTCTGCTGGAGCAGGGCATGGAAAAGGGCACAGCCACCTCCTGCCCCTGTCCCATGTCTTGGCACAGCCTTTGGGGTCCTGGTTTCCCTCTGTTCAAAGGCTCTGCTGGAGCAGGGTGTGGGCAAAGGCACAGCCACCTCCTGCCCTGTCCCATGTGCTGCCACAGCCTTTGGCACCACCTGGCCATGGCCTGGCCGTTCCTGTTTCACTCTTTGCCAAGGCTCTGCTTTCCTACTTTTTCCACCTGTGAGCTGAACACTTCTCACTGACTTTGTCCTTCTGCAGAGAGGCCCTCCAGCCAGGAAATGGGTATTTCAAATGACACATATCACTTCACATTGCAGCACCTAAAATACACAATTTTCCCCCCTTTAAAACGTGCATTCATCAAGTTTCATTCAAATCCCTTTACAGTTGCATTTCCTAATTCTGTAAAGTGTGGATTAGAGGAGTAGGTTCATTCAGAACAGTTGTGCCAGGGTTTTCTAGCCCTTAAATAATTTCTCTTTAGAAGCAGAACTGTTTCAATGCCCTGCACTAAGCATAGCACTCTTCCATGAGCAGTATTTGTGCTGTAATGAACAGAGGTATTTATTTCAGACATGACTGGGTTAAAAAATGGGAATGTAAGAAGCTTGGAAAGAGGTAAACACAGGACTCACAGGATTTCCAGGTGCATCGTGTTTGTGTGTGAAATGCTCCCGGAATTTGTGTGGATCTCAAAGATCATTTTCTAGAAAGGTTTGGCATTCTGCAATGCTGAAAGGAAAGCCTCTAAAAACTTGATTTCCCCTGTAATTTCTGTGGATCTCGAAGGTTTTTTGCTGGAGGGGTTTGGCATTCTGCAGTGCTGGAAGGGTGCTTCTAAAAACTCGATTTTCCCTGGAATTTCTGTGCATCTCCCATTCCCTTTTGCTCCCCCAGGTGTCCGTCACCCCAACATCATCTGTGACTGCTGCAAGAAGCACGGGATCCGAGGCATGAGGTGGAAATGCAAAATGTGCTTTGACTACGACCTGTGCACCCAGTGCTACATGAACAACAAGCACGACCTGTCCCACTCCTTCGAGCGCTACGAGACCGCTCACTCCCAGCCGTGAGTCCTCCTCACCTTCCTCATCCTCCTCATCCTCCTCATCCTCAGCACATTTCTGGGGTTCACTCCCACCCTGGGGCTCTCCAAAACCTGCTGGGAGCACCCCAGGGGGTGCAGAATAACCCTGCAGAATTTAACTTCTGTATCTGTATGATTTATATGGAATTTAATGTGAATATATTGGGTGGTGCTCATTTTTTTCTGGGTTTTCTTTTGGGTTTTATGACCAAAAGGTTTGTTTTATAATTCTGATTTATGGGGGTCAGTTCCATCCTGGGGTTCTCCAAAACCTGCTGAGTGCATCCCAAGGGTGTGCAAAGTAACCCAGTAGAGTCTAACTTCTGTATCTGTGTGACTTATAAATAATTTAATGTAAATATATCAGGCAGTGCTCAATTTTTGCTGATTGGGTTTTAAAAGGTTTGTTCTATAGAATAATTCTGATTTATGGGGCTCAGTTCCATCCTAAGGTTCTCCAAAACCTGCTGGGTGCACCCCAGGGGTGTGCAGAATAACCCAGTAGAATTTAACTTCTGTATCTGTGTGATTTATATGGAATTTAATGTGAATATATGGGGCAGTGCTCGGGTTTTTTTCTGGGTTTTCTGGGTTTTCTTTTGGGTTTTATGACCAAAAAGGTTTTTTCTATAGAATAATTCTGATTATGGGGTTCAATTCCATCTTAAGGTTCTCTAAAACCTGCTGAGTGCACCCCAAGTTTGTTCAAAATAACCCAGCAGTAATTTAGAACCTAATTAGTATATATCTGTGTGATTTTTAAAGAATTTAATGTAAATATATCATGCAATACTCAAGTTTTGCTGATTGGCTTTTAAAAGTTTTTTTCCACAGAATAATGTCAGGTTTGGTTAGGTTTTATGAAGCTGCTTGAGAAAAAAGGCAGCAAACAGAAATCTGCAGAGTGTTTTTCTAAAGTGACAAAAGGATGATTTCTGCTCTGGTTTTTCTCTTCCTCAGCTCCCCCACAATTCAATAATTTCTCAGACTTGCTTTGTTATTTGCTATTCTCAGGCCACAGGGATCTTGCACTCCCAAATTGTTGATTTATTCTTGGGGTCTATTCACTGAAGAGCAGCACTTTCTCACTTACTCCTGCTCTGCATATTAATTTTTTTGGTGGTGATTGCTGCACTGATGCCTGTGGAACAGCATCTGTAATTTCATGCTCCTCCAAAACATGGGAAATCTGTTCTTCTGTCCTGAGGAAGAATTCAAAAATAGTCTCACCAATACTTTTATTTGCATTTCCTAAAGTGGGCATGAAGATGAATCATGTAAAATCCTCTTGCCTTCAGGAGAAGGAATAAGAAATCAGTTTTATCTCTGTCATTGATTTTCTTTATTTTTTTCCTTTTTTTTTTTTTTGCCTGCCTTTGAAAATATCAGTGTGCCTTGCATCCATCTGTGGAATGAGAAGTGTAATTTCTGTGCTCAAGGCAGTGCTGTGGGATTTGCAGCTGCTTTTCCTGCCATGTGGGAAGCTCTGCCTAGAGCTGATTTTGCCAGGCTGGTGCCAGCCTTGGTTGAGCCAGAATTCCTGGCAGGGGAAGGATTTTGCTGGCCAGAGAATCTCCCCTCTGAGCTCTGAGATTTGTATTTATCCACCAGATAACTGTTTCTGGAGCTTAATATGTTAAATTTCTGAGTGTTAATACGAGAAGCCAGCCAGATCCTACTGTGAAATGAGCTTCACAATTTGGTGTATCTATAAAAATACACATCTCTGTAAAAATAGGCATGAGGGGGTTTTTGCTCTTCCTATTTATAACAGAGTTATCTCCAAGTTAGTTACTCAGGGATGCCTGCTTTTGTCTTTTATTTGAGCTTTAAGGTACAGAATTTTACTCACATTGAAATTAAAAATAAAAAAGGCACTGCTGCAGAGTAATTGTTGGATTAAACCCTTTTCTGACTCAGAGATGGGGCAGCTGAGAGGTGTTTGAAAAACTTTTGTTCCATTTTCAGTCTCATGTGAAGGGTGAGACAATACAGATGTTATCATTCACACCACCACAATCAGAATCCAACTATTTCCTAATTACAATATATTATAAGCATTTCTTGGCCTATCAGCTTTAAGCACACCATGCTGTAAATGCCTTAATAATCTAAAATTACCCCTCAGGAGGTAATGCATCTTCCATAGTTCTATTTCTCAAAAATATTTAGTTTTATTTGCAAGGCCACCTTTTGAAAATTGTTTGTGGTTCCATTTCTCTCTCAGCGATGTCTTTCCTATCCTATGGCATTTCTAAATCAGCATTTTTATATCAAAATATAAATATAAACATAAATACACTTTATAAAACCTTCTATCAAACTTGAAGAATTTTCTACAAATCCATTTCCCACAAGCAACCCCAATTTTCTGCCCTGTGCTGGGCATTCCCAACCCTGCAGTGGGAAATATTTTGGGCAGGAAGGACCTGACCCTCCCCAGGAGCAGCTGGGATGCTGGCCTGGATAAAAAGCAGATTTCAAGGTAATTTCTCCCCAGGACTCACCCTCTGCAGAATTTGTTCCTTTTTTCTGAGTGGTGGAAGATGGAAATGGAGCAATTTTCCCTTGCAAGGCTTGGCTGTGCTGGGGTTGGGTTGTTTGCTTTTTTTTTTTTTTTTTCCCCTAAATTCTTTCACCTTTTTAATTTTAAATTTTTCTGTGAGTGTGGCTGGTTTAGTGCTTGGAGAAAATGTGCTATGAATTAACTTTATTTGACAAAAGCAACTCTAGACATAGTGCCTGATAGCAAATCTTTATAAATAATCAGCAGTATTCTGATGAATACTGTGTGAATTCTGATGTGTGTCAGCAATGAATAAGGATCTTCAGAATAAGGATCTTCAGGAATAAGGATCTTCAAGAATAAAGATCTTCAGGAATGAGGATTTTCAGGAATTAGGACCTTCAGAATAAAGATCTTCAGGAATAAGAATCTTCAGGAATAAGAATCTGCAGAATAAGGATCTTCAGGAATAAAAATCTTCAGGAAAAAGGATCTTCAGAAAAAAGGATCTTCAGGAAAAAGGATTTTCAGGAAAAAGGATCTTCAGGAAAAAGGATCTTCAGAAATTAAGATCTTCAGGAATGAGGATCTTGAGGGATAAAGATCTTCAGGAATGAGGATCTTGAGGGCTAAGGATCTTCAGGAATAAGGATCTTCAGAATAAGGATCTTCAGAATAACAAGCAGCTGATAAAAAAAGGAAATTAAAAAAAAAAAGAAAATAAAAAGAGACACAGCATGAGGCTGTCAGGTGTGGCAGTGATTTCTGGGAGCCTCCATAAGGGGAAAGGATAAAAAAGCAGTTTAATTGACTGGTGGAACACCTTTCCTGCTGTTCCTGCTTGGCAGGTATTGATTCCAGCTGAGTTTGGGGATGGAGAGGAATTAGAAATTCTCCAGGAAGAAGCTCCCTGTTGTGGGAAGCTGCAGTTTTAAAGCTGGATGAAAGGTTCACGTTGTGCTTCTTGGAAGTCACTCAGCTTTTGGAGCAGATTGTCAGAAATGGGTTTGGTTTCAGGATTGCACAGTAACTGCAATAAATGTGTGTTTTCTGCAGCTTTCACACAGATGAAATCCCTTTTACTCAGAAGTGGAAGCAGGAAGCAGTGGGAACACTAACTTAGAAATACCATAAAATGGAACAAATATTGTTAAAAGAAAAATAGAACTAGAAAAAAATTTCTCTAGATACTTTAGAGAAATAGAACTATAAAAAATACATTGTAGTAAGACCCACAAAAACAAGTAGTTTTAACTTATTAACTTTAAAACAACTGCAACATAGTGTGACAAAAAAATAATAAACCAAGAAACACTTAGAGTGTTTCATAATTAAAAAATAGTCAACTTCAATTGTAATGACACAAATGATAACATCTGTATTATCTCACCCTTCTCATAAAACTAAAATTTAAAACACCTCTCAATTAACCCATCTCTAAGCCAAAAAATAGTAAAAAAAAATTAAAAATTCAAATATAAGTAAAAATAATTTTTCTTTGGTGCCTTCACACCATCTTTGCTTTGATGCAAATGTGATTTGTTGCTGCAGGGTTCTGGAGAGTGCTCTGGGCTATCAAGGATGGAATGTCCTGGTGTGAAACAAAGGGCAGGGATCACCTTTGAGCAATGCCACAGAGAGGATTTCTGTGCAATAAGGCAGGTCTGAGCTGTGCAGACTCTTTGCCCTAGGCACTGCAGCATCCTTTTCAAGAACAGAAATTTTCTGCCTCTGACTCACTGGGTCTATTGCTTAGATCACTCATCTCTCTTTTTTTCTTTTTTTCTTCTTCTAAATAAAGTAGAAGATAAAACCTTTGGCAGTTCCTTAAGGACAAAAAGAGAAAATCAGAGTATTTCCTTATTCTTTTTTCCCTTTTGAGTATAAAACCTTTGGCAGTTCCTTAAGGACAAGAAGAGAAAATCAGAGTATTTAAAAAGTCAGTGGTAAATGCTGTGTGGATTTGGGTCTGGTTGTTGGTCTCCTTTAGATTCCAGGATTCTCCCACCTCCTTTCTCAGGCAGGGAATGGGGATCCTTTGGTCCCTCCCAAATTCCTGCTGCTGCTGCCAGACCCCCCGGGCCACTGAGGCAGCAAGGGGAGCATCCCTGTTTGCAGCAGGTCACTAATCCCAGATTTAGGAGGATTTAACCCCAGACAGGCGCTGCTGAGGTTCCCAATCAGTTCTCTAAAGAGGCTTTGAAGACATCTTTACCTGAAGGCTATTTCAGCTCTTCAAATGACCTGAGTTTGAACTTTAGGTGATAATAGGAAGCACTGATTTTTTTTTAAATTTTGCTATTTGAGGTAATCTCTTCCTGACCTCCTAATTTATTATTTTTTATTGGTCTTGCTCAGTTTGAATTTTATGGCTGTTGTAGGAGAGGCTCTCATCCTTGGCTTAAAAGGATGGAGGAGCTCAGTTTTACCAGAGCTTTTTTTCAGAGCTGTTGCGTCCATTTGCTCAATATGTGCTTAGTAATTGGAAGGTAAATCAGTGTCAGAGCAGCAAAGCAAAGCTCATCAAGTTTATATTAGGGCAGGAGAAGTCAGGCACATTCTGGTGACTTCTGCAAATATTCAAACCTGAGATACAAAATATTAATGTTGTTATATTCCCATGCAGCACCAACATTTTGCTTGGATCTCCTGCTCAGGGCTGGGGCTGAGCTGAGTTTCAGATGTGGAATTTTACCCAGGCTATTTTCTAGCCTTCTCTCACCAATAAATCACAACCTCAGTAGTTTTTCACAAACCCTGGTTTTGTTGTTTTTTTTTTTTTTCCCTGGCAAACAATGGAGCTGGAGGAGCCAGCGAGCTGCACTGGGAAATGTTTTGTGTAATCAAGCACAAGAAATACAAATATTTTCTCCCATTGTGCTTTATCCTGTAGTCAAAACAGAAATTGCAGTTATTTTCATCTGGAATTCTTAAACCAGCTCTGTCTGGTGGAGTTACCAGCTGGATTTGGAAATCAGAGGCAGGAACAAGTGCTTTGATTTAGGTCTGTGCAGTGCAGACCCATTCAAGGCAGTTTGAATAATCCCAGCTCCCATCTGTGGCTGCTGGGAGCTGAACTGACCCAGCAGCTCAGTGACAGCTGCTGGGTGTTTGATTTCTGGGCAATAAAAGGATGCTGGTTTATTTACAGAGTAGCCTCCTCAGCAGGTGGTATTTGTTAACTGTTTTTTTTAAACTGCAGTGGCAGTATAAACTCAGAAATTTGGGTGAGGAATATGTGGAATCAAATGAATTTATTAATATGAATTTGTATGATTTTACTTTAAGAAAAAAAAACCCCACCATGATTTGCCAGATGAATTGCCTGTGCCTCCTTTAAAAAAAAAACCCAAACATGAGCACCAAGGTGTATTTTCATACTGGGGCTTCCCTTGTGTAATTTGGATTATTCTGTTTGATTTCTAGAACAGGGATTGTCTTTCAATGACATGTATTATCTTTATCTTTTCTGGAATTACATGATCAAAACTTCAAGAGAAACCTTCACCAGAAAACCTGAACCAGCTTTAGCTGGGTTTTGAACTAATAATGAAGTTTGGAGGATGATAATAAGATATTTTCACACCATGTGCTCTGTGGTGTTTCTGCATCTCCTCAGTGCAATATTCTGCCTTTAAATGCTCTGTATGAGCATCTCTGAGAGCACAGTTGTGAAAAACTGTCTGCAGGAACCTTTTTAGCTCCCATTTTGTAGCCTTGGTCTGAATCCTTCCCTGCTGTGGCTTTTCAGAGCAGGATTTATCTAAGTTACCTTGGGGGTTACCAAAAAACCACAGCTTTTACAGATAAAGATGTGTTGTTAAAAGGCTGGTTTTGTCAATAAATGTGCCTTGTCAAGGAAGGAGAGGATTGAAAAGAAAAAAATCTGGGTAAAGGCAGTTCCTAAAATAGTTTTCTGTGATCCAGATTACTTTGGGGGTTACCAAAAAAGTACATTTTTACTGATAAAGATGTGTTATAAGAACACAGCTGGTTTTTTCAAGGAAGGAGAGGATTGAAAAGGAAAAAGTCTGGGTAAAGGCAGCTTCTAAAATAGTTTTCTGTGATCCAGTTTACTTTGGGGGTTACCAAAAAAACACAGCTTTTACAGATAAAGATGTTATAAGGCTGGTTTTGTCAATAAATGTGCCTTGTCAAGGAAGGAGAGGATTGAAAAGGAAAAAATCTGGGTAAAGGCAGTTCCTAAAATAGGTTTCTGTGATCCTGATCCCTCTCCAGCTCCTTGTCTTAGTCTGGTTCCTGCTTGAGCAACCAGCAGCCATCTGTCAGAAGTGCCTTCCTTTATCCTTTGCTGGAAGAGTTTCAGGAGAAGCTTTGCTGGGGGGATTAAAAACCTGGAATTTCTTGCATTGAGGTGACTTTTGCCTGTAGTTCCTGCAAGATCTTCGTGTTGGCTTTTCTGGGGGTGGATCTTTGTGTGTCCTGGCAGGGATGTGAGTTTGTGTCTCCCACAAGTTGAAAATCTGGTTTAGAGCTGTGCCTTTCTGAAGGAATTAATGTGATATTTATGGCCTGCCACCTTACAGGGTGACCAGCCCTTCTGATTCCTGGTCCCCTTCATTGTGTTTATTTCTTCAGATAAGAACTTTGTGCAGCAGGAAAATCTCACTAAACACATCAACCATGCCTGCTGTGAAGGAGCTCTGGCTTGCTGCTGCAAATTTAAACTTGTTTTTGTTTCAATTTCTCCAGATCAGTGGATTTGGATCTCCCATCCCTCTCTTTAAAGCAGGGGTGATGCTGCTGTTGCAGATGCTGCAGCAGAGTTCTCAGGGATGTCAAAACCCAAATCAGCACCTCAGAGAGGCTTGAGCAAAGCAGAACATCCCCAGGGAGTGGTTCCCAGCGTGCTGGAGAGAGCCATAACTTCATTCTGTACAGTGCATGCTCCCAAGAGCTTTCTGGGCTCTGCAGTCATTTAATATCCTTGGAATTTGTAGGGCAGAAACGGCTGCAGACTGGTGCTGTCATAATTAACATTGTTATTAAAGGCAGTAGCACACTGATTAAATTTATCCCAGGGGTATTTTTGCATCACACTGGGTAATTTTGGTTGTTATTCAGTATTTGGAGCAAAACATTGAATTAGATTAAAACCTTGTAAGACTCTTTGGCTGAGGAGATTTGGTGCTTGCATCACTCTTTGGTGGTGAGGCTGGGGAAGGAGGGCACTTCTGCTGGGTGAAATTCAGAATTTCAGCAGGACAGGAGAGGGAGTTGCTTACAATTTCCTTCTTTAAGGAATTGCTCAGCTTTCTAAATTGATCAGCTTTGTTTTTTTGGTCTCCATCCACAAATTTCAGAGGAGGTGGCAGGTTAATGTGAGAGTGTTGAGCTGGGGAATGACTACTGTTACATGATAATCCAAAAAGGGAACTTCTGCTAAGAATAGAATGAGTGGTGGATATTTTGCTATTTAAACCTTAAGCTCAGCTCGGTGCTTTATTTTACTATCACTAAGAATCTTTGCATTGAATCCCCTCCCTTGTGAGAGAAGGGTTTGGAAGAGAGAATTATATTTTTATCACTTAGTCTCAGGGCTTGGCTCAGACATATTTGATAAATTATTAGAAAAACGTTGAACAAAATGCAGTGAAAACATCTGAGCTGTTTCAGAGGCTGTACCCAAATCCAGGCTGGTTTTTGAAGCCAGTCTGTAGTGCAATAAAATAAATGCTGAGCAGTGGCTCTTTAGAGCTGAGCTTTTCCCTCCACTGTCATTATCTTCTTTCATAACAATATCCAGCCTTGATGGTGCTTAAAGCAGACAAAATCTCAACCCTCCAAATACTGGGCCTTCATTTTCCTCCTGCCTGGGTAATTATGAATATTAATGATTAGTGATTACAAGAGCAAGGCATAAATAGTCCCTCCCTCTTTTGAAGGTTGTAAACCACAGGTGGGAGGCCTGGTAAAAGGTTAAGAAAAGTAAAAGATTTAAGCATTTGCTGGATAAGTGAACAATAAGTTCAAGCATAAGCTTTTTATCCTCCTGAGTCTCCACCTTTCCTCTGGAGGTATTAGATGGAAAAGAAATGCAGAGCTCTGGGGTCAGCCCTCCCCCGGGAAGCTTCTCCTCCCCTCGTGCAGCAGCTGCTGAACTCTGGGCTGGGGCTGCCAAGAGCCTGTCTGGCTCCAGGGACATGGACTGGGGCACTTGTGCTGTCACCTAGAAAAGAGATTGTGGCCTGGGTGAGCCGCCAGGCGGGTCCCCGTGGGGTTTGGGGCTTGCTGCCTGATGAGAAGGCTTGGTGGCAGCCTGGGGACAGCAGACACAGAGAGGCTGCCGTGCCACCATGGGAATTGGGAGCTGCTTTAACAGGACGTCAGACCCCCTCTTCACCATCACGTAGGTACCTTTGTGCCCTGCAGCTGCAGGGGGGCTGTGCTGGGATGTGGGGAGCTCTGTGGGATCCTGGGAATGTCCAGCCACAGCCCTGCTGCTCCGAGCTGCTCTGATGTCCTGCTCACAGAACGTGCTGAGCTCCATCAGTGCCTCCGTGCAGGGCACCCCGGGAATGGCCACGAGCCTGAGGTGCAGGGGGGTCCTGCTGTGACAGCCCTCATGGGAGCAGAGCTCTGGCAGTGTCTACAACAGCAAAAAATTCAGTTCTTTCCTCTGATTTTGTTTTTCCAGCGTCCTCGTGAGCCCTCGACAGAATCTGACTCGCATCACGTTAAAAGGGACTTTCCAGGGGGCTAAAGTGGTCCGTGGGCCTGACTGGGAGTGGGGTAACCAGGATGGTAAGCTGCTTTTGGGATGTCCTGTAGAACACCACTTGATTTTTAATATATATTTTATATTTTATATTTTATATTTCATATTCTATATTCTATATTTTTATTTTTTCTATTTTATTTTTATTTTTACTTTATATTTTATTTCTATTTTATAAATTTATTTTGTTTTTATTCCTATTTATATATTCATGTATTTTTATAAAAATATAGATATTTATATGTATAGATAATAATTATATATATATATATATATTCTTTTACTAATTGCTCGTTGAAAAGCCACATGCTGAGCAGCAGCTTCTAGGGGAGATGTTCAGGTGATGCCTGTTCTTTAGAGAAATTAAAATCCTCTGTTTTCTTGTTTGTTTGTCACATATCTGTGGCATAAATCATATCCAGGGTGTGGGGAGGAAGTTTTGCTGCTCCTCTTTCATAGATGTGAAAACCATTGGGAATCATCCTGGGAATTCTTGTGTCAAATTGTAAATGCACACCATGTTACAAGAAAATAAAGACTCCTTTCTTCCTGAAAAAGCTTTAATTGATAGTGGAAAGTTCATTTGACTTTGTGTGCACTATCCATTTTCTTTCAGAGTTTTTGGAATGTCCTTATTTGGATACTTTTGAGAACAGTGGGGAGAAATTCTCTCCAAGGAGGGTTTCACATGTTGCACTAGGGAAGGACTCTGAGGTTATTGGAGAGCGGTTCCTGCTGTCTGCAGGAATTGAAACCTGAAACGCAGTGGGACAAAAATGCCTTTTTAAAGCTGTTTTGGGGTGCGGGGCCTGTGGCCAGGTCACTGGCAGCAATTTCTGTGTGGTGCTCCGGGGCTCAGGGAGCTTTCCTGCCCCTTTGTCCCAGAGCCCTGCACAAGGCTCAGTGTTGTCTCTTGGATCAGAGGACGTCCCAGTGCCCAGCCAGATTCACCTCCCCACATCCATCCTCCTCTTCTGGATTCTTCAAGCTCCTTGCTTGGAAAAAACCAAGTTTATTTGATCACCATCCCACCTGGATGGTGTTGGGGAGAGATGTAAAGATCCTGGGTGGATCTTTAGCACTTGGATCTTGGATCTTGCAGCACATTTCCTGCAGAAAGCAGGAACCACTCTCCAATAACCACAGAATCCTTCCCTAGTGCAACATGTGAAACCCTCCTTGGAGAGAATTGCTCCCCACTGTTCTCAAAAGTATCCAAATAAGGACATTCCAAAAACTCTGAAAGAAAATGGGTAGTGCACACAAAGTCAGATAAACTTTCCACTATCAATTAAAGCTTTTTCAGGAAGAAAGGAGTCTTTATTTTCTTGTAACATGGATGGTGTTGGGGAGAGATTTAAAGATCCTGGGTGGATCTTTAGCACTTGGATCTCGGGTCTTGCAGCACATGGGTGGTGTTGGGGAGAGATGTAAAGATCCTGGGTGGATCTTTAGCACTTGGCTCCTGGATCTTGCAGCACTGCTGACTATTTTTATTGCCACAGTGTGGTGCCATGACACCGTGTGTTTATTCCCCAACTAGGCCATGCTCCTGCACACCAGGAATTCTCCACAGAATCATTCCAAAATGAATGGCTCGCTGGTTTTCAGCAGATTTAACACAGAGATTCCCTCCTGATCAGTCCAGATGAGTTGTCTCATGATCCAGTTTTCCTGACTTGCACTTCTTTTCCCCTCAGGGGGTGAGGGTAAGACCGGCCGCGTGGTCGATATCCGGGGCTGGGACGTGGAGACCGGCCGCAGCGTCGCCAGCGTCACCTGGGCAGATGGAACCACCAACGTCTACAGGGTGGGCCACAAGGGAAAAGTGGACCTCAAATGTACTGTGGAGGCTTCTGGGGGCTTCTACTACAAGGAGCACCTCCCAAAATTAGGTGGGTGGAGGGAAATCTTTGCTGAGTGAAGGCTTTGTTGAGGAGTTGTGATTCACGCGGCCGTTGGCGCTGAAGCCGTTTTTTGTTTGGAAGGCATAAAACCACCTCCTGATTTTCTGAAGTTCCCACATAACGAGCATCATTTGAGAGAATTTGGTTTGTGTGTGAACGTACTGCTTGATCTCAGAGTGGTTCATGAAATAATTTGAACCATCAGGTACCCACAGTTCTGTCCCAAGGAATACAGCCTCTGCTGGAAATGCAGGAAATTCCCACTTTGCCTCAGAGAACCCAACTTTCCTCGCTTTGGTTGCATTTGTCAATCCAAAGCTTTTCATTCTTCAGGCAAGTTCTCTGTGCATTTAGAGAACAAACACACTCCTGGTGGAGCCAAAAGGGGGAATGTGACCAAAGGGAGAATGGGACAGCCAAAAATTAGAAAAAGCGGTGGGAAAAGGTGATGTCTGTACTGGCAACTTGCTGCAGTCCCCCTTTCCTCTAAAGTCCAAGGAAACTCCTTGTGCTTTTGGACTTGAAGCTTTTTTTTACCCAGGTGTAATTTAGCTGTGGGGTTGTTTTTCTTTTAACGAGGTGCAGGGAGCACCTTTGGCTCCCCTGAAGGAAAACAGAGGGGTTTGTTCTGGTGTTTGCAGCAGCAGAATCAGGGTTTTTGTCAGATAAAACTTTTCAGGAAGACTTTTACCAGTCCTTTTCAAACTTTTCTCTCCGTGAGCACCTTGGCAAGAGCATGAGGGGAGGGAAGGGTTGGATGAGGAGCTTAATTCCAGGGTATGGCTGCATGGGATGGGTGGGAGGGTAAGGAACTCCTCAGAGTGAATTCTGTGCCTGCCTGTGCAGGGGAGAACTAATTTTGGGTGCTGTGTGGGCATGTCTGAGCAGCAGTTGTGGGTGAGTGGATTGCTAAGAACAGCTCCTGGTGTCTGCCGTGGCCAGAGAGGCATTCCCTGCTCTGCAGAGGGACAAAATGGGTTTTGTTAGAGCTGCTTATGTTTTGTTATTATAGTCCAATTGTAAAATATAATGTAATTATTAATATAATCAGAATTAAATCCTACTGATTTCTCTGCTGCCCTATAAAGTGTATGGGGCATGAAAAGGGGTTTGCACCATTCTCCCCCAGTTAATGTTAATTTTCAGCCCTTGTAAGGAAGCCAGTGAGGCACACAGAGACAAAATGGGTCTTGTTAGAGCTGCTTATGTTTTATTAATATAATGTAATTATAATATAATTGTAATTGTAAAATAAAATTGTAATTGTAAAATAGAATTGTAATTGTAAAATAGAATTGTAACATAATGCAGTTATTAATATAATTAGAGTTCAATCCTAGTGATTTCTCTGCTGCCCTGTAGAGTGTATGGGGCATGAAAAGGGGTTTGCCCCATTCTCCCCCAGTTAATGTTAATTTTCACCCTTGTAAGGAAGCCAGGGAGGCACTGGGGTGTGTGGGTGCACCCTGCATGCCTGTGGCCGCTGTCCTTGCTGTCCCCAGGGAAACCAGCTGAGCTGCAGAGGAAGGAGAGCACAGACAGACATCCCTTCCAGCACGGGGACAAGGTCAAGTGCCTGCTGGACATCGACATCCTGCGGGAGATGCAGGAGGGCCACGGAGGCTGGAACCCCAAAATGGCTGAGGTAAGTGCCTGGATTCCCTCTGGCTCAAATCCCAGCCTCTCCCTCCTTCTGCACCGCTCAGGACAACTTTGTGTGACCTTAGAGTTGAACTGAATCACAAATGCAGATTTTTTTAGTGATAGGACGCTAGAGTCAGAGTTATTTTTAGGCTCTGTTGGATGAGGGAAAAAAAAAAAAAAAAAAGCTGATTTGTTTGTTTTTAAATGAGCCACGGGTCTTTTCTTTGCTGTTCTGGATCCATTCCTTGTTTGGCTTCTTTTGTGCTGTGCATTACTGGTAATTAAAGTTGTGTGTTTTGTCAGCACTGGGCTCTGTCCTTGGCCAGGGCTAAAATTCCTCAGCCCATATCATATTTTTGGAGCTTAGTCTTGCCTTTAAATTGAAGAGCCATCAGTCTGCTGTCACCTGTTATTTTAAAAAAACCCAGAGAGTGGAGGAAATAAAGATAGAAATGGCATCTATTACTGTAAATAGCATGAATAAATACTATAAAATCATCAAGATATGTTAAATATCTATCCTGGCCCAACCTGCCCTATAGGTGAGCAGACTTTTTGAATTTAAATTAAAGTCAAGGCAAATTCTGTGGTTTCAGTTTCAATGTGGAAATCTCTTAATTGAGCATCATCCTCTTTTTTTGGGTTTTTTTTTCAGCCTGGCAGGCAGGGACTCTGCATCTTCTGATGAACTTTAACGAAGCTGCCAGTGGAGCCATGAGTTTTTTAATTCCAGCTCAGGAATGCACCCCCAAAGCTGTAGATTTTGGGTGTTGCTGTGTCTTTTGTTGGCTGTTCAACCTCTGTGCTCCTGAATTCCTGTTTTTGCGGGGTGCAGGGGTAGACAGGGATACTAAACAGAGAAACAGGAACCTCCTGTCACCTCAGAAATTGGCATTTTTTACCTATTTACAAACCATGAGCTGCTCAGGATCTGATCTAGAACTGCACCACACAATTTTATTTTTATTTTGTGTGCCTGGCCCCGTTTCCCCCCTCTCAGAGTTTGCCTTGCTGGTATTTTATAATGCAGAACAACGTTGGATTCCCTGCCCACCTCTGTCCTTTGGAAAGGACAATTTGTGCTGCATTTCCAAGCATTTCTGCACTTTGTATTCCTATCCCCCTCCTCCCCCAATATGCTGCTCTTTCAGAGGAGCTTTTAGAGGAGCCTTTCCCTCCTTTTTGTAGAAAAAGAATGTTTGCATCTCATGCAGATATTGGAAATGCTGGGATTAACAGGAAAATGCAGAATTTAGGATTGGGAAATAATGGGATTAACAGGAAAATGCAGAATTTAGGACTCACAGGAATTTAGGACTTGGAAGTGCTGGGATTAATGGGAAAATGTGGAATTTAGGATTGGGAAATGCTGGGATTAAGGGGAAAATCCAGAATTTAGGACTCACAGGAATTTAGGGCTTGGAAATGCTAGGATGAACAGGAAAATGCAGAATTTAGGACTCACGGGAATTTAGGAGTTGGAAATTCTGGGATGAAGAGGAAAATGCAGAATTTAGGACTCATGGGAATTTAGGAGTTGGAAATGCTGGGATGAACAGGAAAACCCAGAGATTAGGACTGGGAAATGCTGGGCTTAGTATGAAAATACAGAACAAAGGTTTGGGAGCACTGTGGATGGGAAATGCTGGGTGATTTAGCCTTAGATACCTTCTTTCCCCACCATTAAAGAAGGTGATTTATTTAGGGGCTTTCCCCTCTTCCCTTTTTTCGTCCCAAGTTCATTGGGCAGACGGGGACCGTGCACAGGATCACGGACAGAGGGGACGTGAGGGTCCAGTTCAACAGCGAGACCCGCTGGACGTTCCACCCTGGAGCCCTGACCAAGGTAGGTGCTGGCAGTGCTGCAGGAGATCTCTGATCCTGCTGGGTTGGGGCTCAGTGTGTCCCCAGAGGTGCTGGAGGAACACCCTGCTCTTCTAAACACAATTGTCCACATTTTGGAACTTTTGCATTTGCAAGTCCTGAAGGTAAACTGCATTTCTTAATTTCAGCTTCCAGTCCCTCATCCTTCTGCAGCTGCCTTGCCCTTGTGATGAACTTTATCCCCACATAATTTCCCTTTGATTGTTTTTGTTCTTCTGTGTTTTGTGTCTCCACGTTGTTCTCTTTTGCATCTTTGTCTCACTTCTCTTTGATTTCTTCCGAGTCTTTAATCCAGCCCTTCTAATTTTGTGGCTGCATTTCCAAAGCTCACAGTTCCCCAGAGGTTTGAGGACTTTGAGAAGTGGATAATTAGAAATAGAGATAATTAGGTATAGAAGAAGCTGCTGGAAGACCACAAAATTCTGACTTGAGCAAGGTCACAATGCTAAAAACTCCTAATACCAGTGGAAAATGCAGTGTCAGACTGTTTTGCAGAAAATCAGTCTGCTCTGAAAAGTGTGTTTTGACACTGCTCCCTTCCTAGCTCAGTGAGCAGAGGGAGCATCTGGCAAATTCCCAGCACAGATAAACCCTGGTTTCCCTTTTCTGTTTTAGATAACAGATTTAACTTCTTTATCAGAGTGAATTCAAATCTCCAGTGCCAAGTCAGGTGTAGAGAGGAGATGGACCAAGAAAACTTCCATGCTTTATCTGTATTAATTATAAAGGATTTGGAGGAAAAGAAGTTAGGAAAGAGATTGTTCCAAATTATTTCCCTACTTAAATGGTCTGTGTTTATTTTGCAGCTCAGGGGTAGCAGAGCTTTCTTGGTAGCTGCATTTATGTTTTACAATGCTGTTTTTTGACTCAGTGGGTGTCTTGTTTGTTGGGATTTTGGGAGTGGGGCGGAGGGGCTGATCACTATTGATTTTTTGTCTCTGTGTGTGTGTGGCTTCATCCCCCAAAAGCTTATGACTTTCTTTTTCTTGTAGCTCAACACCTTTTGGGTTGGTGATGTGGTCCGGGTGATAGATGATATGGAAACAGTGAAGCGGTTCCAACCTGGTCATGGGGAGTGGACAGATGAGATGGCACCTGTGAGTGCGCGCCAGTTCCAGTTCCAGGACAGTCCAGTAACCTCCTGAGCTTCCCCAGGCCCTCAGCACTCAGCCATGGGCTTGTCCCCCCACCAGAATTCCTGCTGGGAAGTCCCTGCCCAGCCCCTGGTGCTGGTGGCTCTCGGTGACGCCGTCGTGTCCACGGCACCCAAACGGGACAAGGGGGAATCCAGCAAAAAGGATTTGGCTGCCACCAACTCATGTTAGAGGTTTCCATCAGCAAAGTCCTCTCATGCCCTCCCTGACTGTCTGGAAAGAGGCAGGGAGGTGGAAAAATCAGCCCAGCATGGCTAAAAAATGAGATTCAGGTTCCTCCAGGAGCAGTTAAAGCCCAGAGGAAACCATCCCCAATCCCAGCTTGATCAGTTATTATCAGCACCTCCCTCTCCAGCCATTTCCAGTGTGTCTGGGAAAACCATTCCATGGCAAACCAGTGAGAGAGAAACTGGTGAGAACCCTCTGGTGTCCTCGAAGTGGGAGCTGTCTGTGAGTGTGTCACTTGTCCGGTGCTTCTTTTCACACAGCAGGAGCTGCAGCTTTACGAAAAAATAAACCAAAAAAAAAAAAAAAAAAAACCAAAAAAAAAAAACAAAAACAAAACCGTGGCCTTAGGTCTGGGAACTGCAGCTTTGAGGAGGGAGGAGGGGAAAAAAAAAAATATCCTCTCTTTTCTTTACAGACCCTGGGGCACATTGGGAAGGTGATCAAGGTCTATGGGGACGGAGATCTGCGAGTGTCAGTGGGGGGACAGTCCTGGACCTTCAACCCTGCCTGCCTGACAGCCTACCAGAGGGAGGAGGAGGCCAACCTGATGACCACAGAGAGTGCCAAGGAGTCCAAAAGTGAGGGACAAACCCGGTCCCACCATGGCTGGGAGATCTTTGGTCCAGCTCTTTGGATGGTGGCAAAATCCAGGTGTTCATCCCTGGATGGAGAATTAAAGTCTGGCTGTGTTTTACTGGGCGAGCAAAGCTGGGCTTTAAAAAAAATGCAGGATTTAGGACTTGGAAATGCTGGATTTAGGACTGGGAATTGCTGGGGTTAATGGGGAAATGCAGGATTTAGGACTTGGAAATGCTGGGATTAATGAGAAAATCGAGAATAAAGCTTTACTGTGCCTTAGTGAGCAAGCAAAGCTGGCCTTGACAGGAAAATACAGATTTTAGGACTTGGAAATGTTGGGTTTAACAGAAAAATACAGAATGTAGGACTCAGAATTGCTAAGCACAGTTCTGCCCTAGGTTCAGTATTTGCCTCATCCCTGTTGTGTCTCAGTTCTCTGTTCCATCCCGTTTCCTGTACAAGGATACTGATTCTTGAGGGCTTGTGAAATATTCCCAGATCTGTGCGTGGAACTGTTGTGAAATCAACAATTGTTTTGCCTAATCTGCCCTGAAATTGAGGTTGGGATCACATGGTGCGTGGAGGGGATTTTTTATTTTTTGGTGCTTTTCACATATGCTCAGAATTTTTTTTTGTGGCCTGACCATCCTTATTTCCTCTGGATGTCAGGATCATGTGGGAGAGAGCACAGACTTGCCAGGATTTTTTTGTTTTCCTGATATAGATGGATCTGGAACTGTTTGCTCAAGTCAGACTTGAGGCAGAACTGGCAAGATTTTTTGACTTTGCAGTGCTGGGGAGCTGTGACCCCTGTGTCCCCTCAAAGACTGAGAGATGTGGGGTGACAGGTCCATTTTTGTCTCTTTTTCAGGTACTTTGGTGACTGTCCTGGAGAAGCTGCTGTCCCAGAGGACAGAGTCAGAACATGCAGGGTGCCTGGTCATTTGTGCAGCCCTCAACAACGCAGCCAAAGTCCGGGAGCTCCTCCAGAAATACCCAGACAAGGCAAGTTTGGAAGACAAAAATAGATATTTTTCCTTTGTTTCTCCTCTTTAAAACATCATCATAAAATTTTGTAGTCAAGCAGGGAAAAGGATGTGAGAAAAACAATAGATTTGTCAGGCTTAGTGGTATCTCCTAACAGCTGGAATATTATTTTGCTGCAATTTAGGATTAAATTCACAAGTTAAATTTGCATATTTTATGCCTCTAGTTTGTGGCAATAAATCTGGACTGAATTCCTTACAGCACCTTTCCCAAGCTGGCTTTTCCCAGATTTCCTGTGTGGCCACTGCAGCTGTAGAATGAAGAGGAAAGGGGTTTATCTATAGGAAAACAGGAGCAGAAATCAGAGGATCTGCTGGAAAAGAAAGGCAGGGCTTGTGTCTGGCTGTGCCTGTTCTTAGAGGACCTTGTAAAATCCCATTGTTGGAATCAGGAGGGAGAAAAGCTGCCCAGATCTGTGCAGTGTCTTATCTTGTGTCTGCCTGGAGCAGGGAGCTGGGCTGGACTCGTTGCTGGACAATTTCTGTGCTTGCAGATGCCAAACTGTCAGGATCACATCTCCTGAAACCCCCTTCAGGGAGGGGCTCAGGCTTTAGGAACAGGGCAGAAAAAAACCAAATAACTATTGTCTTTCAGTAGTGTGTGCCTGGAAACCATGGCTAACAAAAAGAGATTTTGTTGGGAGTGTGGGGCTGTGACCCAGGATCAGCTCTGAAAGAATCTCATAAAGCTGATTTAGTGATAATTTGTCTGGTATTTATTACACTTCTTTATTTATAAACTTAAATTTAAGTGTATAAATAAACTTCTGGGGATGGGAAGGAGACACAAATACCTGCAGTTCTCAGATTGATCCCAGATAGGAAAGTCCCAAGAGTAAATAATCCATTATATGATCAGTTGTTTTTATTAGACTTCTATTTCTACTCTGATATTTGTATTAATAAATTAGCTATTTCTGCTTGAGTCTTACAGAGAGATCAGGCTGGATTTGAGGCTGACTTAGAGCAAATTAGAATTGCTTTGGCAGGGTTTTTGCAGCTTATCAGCGCTGTCTGCCTGGTGTAAATGGAAGAGCAGCAGTGACCTCTCATTCCTCTTTGCCCAAAGGACTCACCCATCATTTTGAGCCTATCCAGGGCAGTGCTGCCCCTCCTGTGCTCTGACTGCTGCAGGGGTAAAACCTGGATTATTAACTTGCTCTCCTTGCCAATCTGCCAATCCTCTCCTTAGCCTCCACTGCTTTGCTTTTATTATTTTATTTTTTTTTTTACATCTTGTTCTTCAGTGCTTTGAGTTCTCCAAAACTCTCACTGCAGCACTTGAGCCCTGAGATGTCCCTGCAGCCGCTGCACCCACTGAAGTCCCTGCAGCAGCAGAGCACAGCAGGGACTTGGCACCTCCAGAGCCTTATGCAGAGCTAATTGGATTTCCTCCCCCATTCTCCTCTGGGGAAGGGAATTGCTGGCAGAGGGATCAAGGAGTGCTGTGCTTCCAGGCACAGAGCGACTTGGCAGCAGGGCTCTGCAATTACAGAGCTTCCAGCTCTGTTCTCTCACTTCTCCCCTCTTGACTAAACGTGCTGCCCCCTTCCCCTTCCAGAATGTTCTGGGACAAGCTCAGCTGGGAGCTGCTGGCCGGCCAGAGGAGCCAGCAGGGCACAGACCCCGTGGGATTTCGGGGCTGTTCCCACCCTGCTCCGGGCACAGGACGAGGTCATCCCTAATTTTCTGTGTCTCTGCCCTTCCCAAAGGTGGATGCCAAGAACCAGGGCAGGACTGCCCTGCAAATTGCCTCATACCAGGGGCACCTGGAGGTGGTGAAGACGCTGCTGCAGGCGCACGCCAACGTGGACCTGCGTGACGACGAGGGGGACACGGCGCTGCACTACGCAGCCTTTGGGTAGGACACCTCCCCTCCTGCTGTCCCTGATGGAAAACCTCTGTCCTGCATCCAAATGGATCTCTCTTCCTTCACTCTGTGCCTAGTGGGAGCTTTTCTCTGGTTTTCATGTTGGGAATTAGCCTTTGAGCTTCAGCCCACAGGAGGATTTCTTTCTCTACAGCAGCATCCTTCTTTCCAGAAGGATTTCTGTCATACTTGAGGTGGTCACAGTACAGAGCAACACTCCATTTTCAGAAGGCTTCAAACCCATTTTTATTCTAGCACGCATGCTTTTTATACATTCTTACAAAACTCCTGAGTTTACTCACTGGTCACAAGAGAAAAACCAAATGCTCATTGCAATAGGCAGCTGCAGGTTTCTCTTCTTTATCCTTCTTTTTTTCTTAGTTTTTGTGTCAATTACCTTGGTATAAAATTGTTTCTAGGGGTAAACATGGATCCTCTTCTCAAACTTCTCTCTGGCTCCCCGAAGTCACTGTAAAACCTCTTCCACAGATTTTTATCTAGCACAGGATTTCTTAGCACAAAGATTTCTTATCCTTCACAGCTGCTTCAGTTTCCATGCTAGGAATTTTCAGGGGGAATCAGAAAGAAAAAAAAAAAATCGATAAGGAGGTTTTAGTGATGAAATTTTTTTTCAAGGGGATGGAGGAGGGGATGTAATGGATTCAGATCAATTTGTCTGGTTGGTTTCTCTAAGTTTTTGTTTTCCAGACAAGATGGGATTTTGAGTTGTATCATCAGTTAGCAGGGAAGAATTCATCCTTAAGAGTGGGAATTCCTGTTGGTTCAGAGCAGAGAGCATTATTAGGAATTAATAATTAATTAGGAAGGTTTTGTGGGGTTTTATGTTGGAATCCTGGTTACTTTTAGACTTTCTGTGCTGACAGGCAATGACCCCCAAGAGAACACTGCATTTGACCTGAGGCTGTGAAAAAAGCTTCCAAAATTAAATGATAAAACTAAGATTATGAGTGTGTAGTTTAAATAGATGTGTGTAATATCACATAGTAGAAAATTTAAAGTTTAAAGTTTTAGAATATAGTAATATATATAAAACAAAATAAAGTTTTAAAGCAGAAACTAATCCTTCTCTCTTCATGAATTTAAGTGGTATTGTGTAATTAGATTTTAAAAATCCACATTACAAGCCACAAGTAGTTAGTTATTAAGTTAAAATAAAAATAATTTAATTATCATTTCTTAATTAGTTTATCCTTAAAAAAACCTCATAAAGAAAGAAATGCAACACCATTTTTTAGTTTATTACAATACTTTAGAACTCACAGTTTATAAAAGTGTAATAGATAAAATAGATAAAACTAAATAATAGATAAAAACTAATAGATAAAAACTAATAAACATCTGAATCCAAACAAGAAATACCATCTCACACATTTCATCCCAACCCTAACAATAAAAAAACAAAGCACAACAGCTTTTTTAACACTGAGAGGAAGCAGGGTGGGGCTGAGAGGATACAAAACCTGATTTCTGTTGCTTTGCAAAGAGAGAGAATTGACTGGAATGACTGAAATCTGTTTTTTCCCTTGCTTTAAACCAGGAACCAAGCTGAAGTTGCCCGTGTGCTGCTGGCCAAGGGGGCCAGTGCAGACCTGCTGAACAATGCCAAGTGCACAGCCCTGTACGTCGCTGTCAGCCAGGGCTTCACCGAGGTGGTCAGAGCCCTCTGCGAGCTCAACTGTGATGTCAACCTCCCAGTAAGTTTGGGGCTGCAGCCATTTGGGCAGGGAGCTGTATTTTTTTGGGATTTTTTTTGAGGTTGGGAGGTGCTTCTTTGTGAGAAATTTTGATTTACAGCCTCGAGAGAAGCTCAGATTAATGTAAAAATACAATACACAAACATTAAGCAGAAAAATCATAAACTTATGTTTCTATAGTTGTAAGTAAGAATATACCTTAAGTAAGTAAGAAATCGTATTGATAAAATAGTAAAGAGTTTATCATGTAAAAGTGTAGTTCTATAAAATAAGCTAAGAATTTAGAAGTTATAATAGAAACATATATATAGACACGAGACAGAAACTCATAAAATAAAAGTATCCACAGTGCAACAAAATTAAATAAAGGCAATAAGTTAGAAAAACAGAATAAACCTTGTAACAACTATCTATCAGGTTACAAAATTATAAATTACCTTATCACAAAGAACTTGTGACTACTCTTAAGCTATTGCCAACTGCTTACACCCTTAAAATCTCACAACCTCTGAGACTAATGTTTATCTAAACAATAAATAGTTCTTAGCCCAAAAATAGTCCAATCCCTTCATTATTAACAACAATAATATACTTCTTTATGTCTCACACCCTCTTTGGAGAATGTAGCTTTGTAGAATTCAAATTTGTCTTTTGAAAAGGCACTGGGAAATATCCCTGAATTTCAGTACCTTGAAATTCCAGCTTTGAGTCTGCCCTTCTTCATCACATCAGCATTTTCTGCTGGACTCAGGCTTTCAGGGAGAGCTGAGCTGCTCTTCCTGTGTGTGGTGCCCACACTCCTGTTCCCAGAAACAAGATTTGTAACATTTTTGAGGCAGGCAGCGATGGTGACTTGGACCCAGCCCATTTTTCAAGTTTATTGTGTGCTGGTGGGGCTGTTCCGTGCTGGGTCAGTCCCTCAGAGCTGCTCAGGAGTTTCAGCAGCTGACAGAGGCTTTCCTTGGGGTTTCTGAGGTTGGTAACCTGGCTTTGCTTTGGTCTCCATGGGTAGGATTCCCAGGGAGACACCCCCCTGCATTATGCCATCACCCTGGACTACAAAGTCCTGATTGAGATCCTCACTGAAGTTCCCAACATCGATTTCACTGTCCAGAACTGTCAAGGTTTCAACCTGCTCCACTATGCTGCCCTGAAAGGCAACAAGCTGTAAGTCACCTTGCCTTTTTTTTTTTTTTTTTTTTTCCATTTTTATGCTTTTTGCAGATGTTAATTTGTGCTGGCTGGATAAGAAGGTGGCAGATGGGGTTTTGGGTAGCTGGTTAAACATTTCTTGGGTTTGGATATGGCTGGATAGGGCTGTTGGCCTCCTTCAGGCCTTCACAGGAACCTCCTGCCTGCTTTTCCCACCTTTCTCAGGCTTCCCTAGGCTGGGAAGTCTCTCTGTTCCTGGACAATTTCAGATGTTTGGGTCTTAGTAAATACTGGGAGCCTCTGGAACTCCTCCAAAGATAAACCTGCTCATTATTTTCAAAGCAATGTGGCTTTTCCCTACTTTATTAAAGATAACTGAGAGCTTTTGTTGTATTTTTGTAATTCAGTTTGTGGGTTGAAGGGACTGCTCTTCATTGCTGGTGTCAGAACCACTGGTAAAACACAGACATTGCTGACTCCTGAGCAGGACAGGCAGACATTCATTCTTCCATCTTTAATTACCTCTCCAACTCTGTAGAGCCATCAAGAAGATTCTGGCCAGGGCTCGGCAGCTGGTGGACTCCAAAAAGGAAGATGGATTCACTGCCCTGCACCTTGCTGCTCTCAATAACCACATGGAAGTGGCTGAAATTCTCATCAAAGAGGTAAGAAATAACTCAAAACCAAAATCAAGAAAACCTGTCCCACTCCCAAGCCTCACGTTTCCCACCTACTCCTGAGTGAACACTGATAAATCCTGGTTTCCCTTTTCTGTTTTAAATAACAAACAGATTTAACTTCTTTATCAGAGTGAATTCAAGTCTCCAGTGCCAAGCCAGGTGTAGGGAGGAGATGGACCAAGAAAACTTCCATGCTTTATCTGGTATTAATTATAAAGGATTTGGAGCAAAAGAAGTTAGGAAAGAGCCTGTTCCAAATTATTTCCCTACATAAATAAAAGTTTTTTAAACACCTCTCAGCTGCCCCATCTCTGGGTCAAAAAAGGGTGTTACATAAATAACAAATAACAATTTATTGTCTGAAAAATCGGTGCTCATGTGAGACAACTCAGCTAAACTCAACAAAGGCAAAGTTGGATTTGGGAGCTGCCAGGCCCCAGGCTCACAGCCGTGCAGCTGCACCTCCCCGTGCTTTTCCAGGGTCCCACGAGGGGTAATTTTGGATAATTGACTTTAAACATCTACAGTGTGGTATAACTAACACTAGGAAGCCAAAACCCACTTCTAGTGTATTGTAATTAGGAAATAGCTGACTTCTGATTGTGGTGATGTGAATTACAACATCTGTATTGTCTCACCATTCACATCAGACCAAAAATAGAATAAAAGTTTTTCAAACCCCTCTCAGCTGCCCCATCTTGGGGTCAGAAAAGGGTGTTATATAAATTAAAAATAACAATTCGTTATTATCTGACAAATTGGTGCTCCTTGTGAGGAGCAGATAACTCAGGGAATCAAGTTGGATTTGGGAGCTGCCAGGCCCCAGGCTCGCAGCCGTGCAGCCGCACCTCCCCGTGCTGCAGTTGCTGCAGTGGCCGCAGTGGCTGTAGTGGCTGCAGGTGCTGCAGTGGCTGCAGGTGCTGCTGTTGCTGCTGTTGCTGCAGTTGCTGCAGTGGCCGCAGTGGCTGTAGTGGCTGCAGTGGCCGCAGGTGCTGCAGGTGCTGCTGTTGCTGCAGTGGCTGTAGTGGCTGCAGTTGCTGCAGGTGCTGCTGGTGTTGCAGAGGCTGCAGTTGCTGCGGATTCTGCAGTTGCTGCAGTTGCTGTAGTGGCTGTAGTGGCTGTAGTGGCTGCAGGTGCTGCAGCTGCTGCAGCTGCTGCAGCTGCTGCTGGTGTTGCAGTTGCTGCAGTGGCTGTAGTGGCTGTAGGTGCTGCAGTTGCTGCAGTGGCTGCAGTTGCTGCAGTGGCCGCAGTGGCCGCAGGTGCTGCAGGTGCTGCAGGTGCTGCAGCTGCTGCTGGTGTTGCAGTTGCTGCAGTGGCTGTAGTGGCTGTAGGTGCTGCAGTTGCTGCAGTGGCTGCAGTTGCTGCAGTGGCCGCAGTGGCCGCAGTGGCTGCAGGTGCTGCAGGTGCTGCAGTGACTGCAGTGGCTGCCATGGCCGCAGTGGCCGCAGTGGCTGCAGGTGCTGCTGTTGCTGCAGTTGCTGCGGATTCTGCAGTTGCTGCTGTTGCAGGGCCGCTGCGAGCTGAACGTGAGGAACAGCCGGAGGCAGAGCCCGCTGCACCTGGCCGTGATCCAGGGCCACGTGGGCATGGTGCAGCTGCTGGTGCGGCACGGCAGCGACGTCAACGCCGAGGACGAGGACGGCGACACGGCCATGCACATGGCGCTGGAGCGGCAGCAGCTGATGGGGCTGGCCCTGCAGAAACGGGACGGCGACATGGGAGCCGCCCTCCTGGCCAAGGTCAGCCACGTGTGTGCTGGGCATAGAGAATAACTGTATGGAGAGTGAGACGTGTGTATTGGATATTGGGTGTATATAACCTCTGTGATATGGAGTTATATGTGACAGAATGTGGTGTGTGTATATAATATATATACCACGTATATACATGTGGTGTATATGTAATATATATACTACATATATATATGTCGTATATATATATATAATATATATAATATATATACTACATATATATATGTGGTGTATATATATTATTATATATATTATATATTTATATATAAAATATATATTAATATATATTCTTTATACTATATTATATATAAAATGTAATATATTCTATATATTATATAGAATTTATTAATATATAGCATATATAATAGGTTATATATGATATATAATATCTATATATATATATATACAGAATGTGTATGTATAGATAATACATATCTATATATACAGATAATATATTAATACAGATACTGAATGTGTGTATATAGAATAGAATAGATAATTTGTTGTTCTTCTTCTTTCTTCTTCTCTCTTCTTCTTTCCTCTTCTTCTTCCTCCTCTTCTTTTTCTTCCTCCTCTTGTTCTGCCTCCTATTCTTCCTCCTATTCTTATTATTATTACTATTATTATTATATTTGAAATTATCAGAATAAGTGCAACCACCCATTCCTCTTTTTTAGCTGTTGGTGCCTGCAAAAGCCCAGGCATTGCTCTTGCACCCTGCTCCTTGCCCAACCAGCAGGAGATGATGTCCTGCAGAGGGATCTGTGCCCGCCTTTCCCGGGGTTATTTACAGTAACACCATCTCCAAATGCTGTAGATTCCTTCCCAGCTAATTTTACTTGCCCTGACTGACCCACTCTGGCTGTTTAGGGCAGTGGAATATGTGACTTGACTTCAAATTATTTGGGATCATGCACATCAGAATTTGGCTCTGGAAACAGCTGTCACTTCAGGCCTGCAGCAGTTCTGAGGGGCCTCCAGCTTCTCCCTTCTCCCTCCCTGGAGAGGTGAGGGATTCTCTGATTTTTAGGGATTTGCACCAGCTAGGGTCACTCTGAGGCACTCCAGGCCCTGCAATGTAAGATTTGAGCCCATTATTTACATAAAGGCAAAAAGAATCTCTGTGTGCTTTCAAAAAGTTGCACTTTGAAGTTATAAGTACAAGGTTTAAGGCTTTATTTCGATTTTGATGCAAGTCAGCAGAGGATCAGAAGCTTCTTCTGTTGACAGAGTGTTTTTCTCAATTTCTTTTAGTTGCAGGCTTCTGGCTTCCTGGGAAATGTGGAGCTGAACGTTGGGACTGCCATTGCCTGCTACTTAGCACAAGAAGGAGCAGATATTAATTATGCAAATCATCGGGGAAAGTCTCCTTTGGACCTCATCACAGATGGAAGAATCGTCCAGATTGTCAAAGACTTCTCCCAGAAATTCAGGTAAGCCTCAGGAAAGCCTTGCAAAGCAGAGTTTTCCCCAGCCCTGGTGTGTCAGGGAGGGATGGAGGATCTCTGAGCCCCTCTGGATGTCACCCTGAGCACGCCCTGTTTGTTCTGGAGTGTCTGCAGGGTGATGTGAGGGTGTGTGCTGAGTTTGGAAGGGTTGGGAAAAGCAGCTTAATGAGGCTCTGTGCAAACCCTTGGCAATCTGAGGGGCCTCTGAAGCCACTGAGAGCAACTTTGCAGAGCAGTCCTGGCTTCTGTTTTATTTCCATTTGATCCTCACTGGCAGATATTTAAAGAGAGCACAACAAGAGTGGGCACCAAAACCCCCAGGATTTATTCCAGGGCTGGATAAAGGCTTGTTTTGAAGCTGATAAGAGAAATAGCTGAGGAAATGCCCAAAGGAGAGTATGGCAAGTCAAAGCTGGCTTTATCTGGGGTTCTGAGGTTTGTTTGATTTGGGCTTTGCAAACATGGAAGCAGAGTTCTGTTTGATCTGAGGGCACAGAGGCAGAGAAACCCCCAGCACTGCTCATTGCCCACTGCAAATAACAGGTGAAAAAAAACTTCCACAGGAATTCTCTCAGTGAAATATGTGTTGGACTGAGGTTTTTTGCTTAAAAAATGTCATTTCTGTCAGGTTGACATTTCTCATTATTATTATTATTATTATTGTCTCATTGTTATTATTATTATTATCTGCTTTCTGCATATGACTGTGCTGTTACCTTCCTGTTACCTCTAAAATAGCAGTTTCAACTTGTGTAAATGGATATAAATTAGAGATCCCTGTTCTTTTCCTTTCTTTTCTGGGCAGAACTAGTCAGGATCCCAGCTGAGCTTATCCCAGCAGGGCAGGGAAGGTTCCCAGGTTTATCCACCTGAGCCTGTGGGGTAACCCAGGGGTAACTCAGTGTTACCTGGGGGAAATGGATTTGTAGAAAATTCTTAAAACTTAACAGAGAGTTCACATTGTATGTATGTAAATATCTGTATGTAAATTTTGAGATAAGAAAAATTGAATTAGAAACAAGTTTTAAAGGATAAATCACAAAAAAAAAAAAATTAAATACTTTTGAGAAATAGAACAATGAAAGATGTTTTTAAAACACCTCTCAGTTACCCCATCTCTGGGTCAGGAAAAGGTTTAATCTGACATTACCCAGTGCTGAAGTGGCTCCCATTTCTCACATTTCCTGCTTGCAGGGATCAGCAGGTTTCATCTGACAGCTCAACCATCACCTGCAGCCTTCGCCGTGTGCACACCACGCCCAACACCATGACCAACCTCAGTGTCTCCAGCGTGGCAGTGCCCACAGAGTGCCTGGTCTGCTCTGAGCTGGCCTTGCTCATCCATTTCTTCCCATGCCAGCACAGTATTGTGTGTGAAGGTGAGTCCACACTGGTTTTTTTGGGTTTTTTTCGTGTTTTTTTTCCCAGCCTCCCTCTTTGCCCTGTCAGAAATCCAGCCCTGCTCAGACACAGAGCTTTTGTGCTGTTTGTGTCCTGAAGCAACCCCAGCATGATTTCAGCATGTCTTGCAGCCAAAGTTATCTCTGGAAAACACAGAATGTTCTGCCCACCTGCTGCTTGGGACTGCAGCAGCTCTGCTGGGCTTGGAGGTGCCTGGGTAGTTCAGAGGGAAAGCCAGTTGTGGCTGTCAGTGCTTTGTCCCCCAGAAACCTCCTGAGGAGGATTTCCCTCTCCTCTGCCTTTCCTAACTCTTCATCCTTCAGGATTTCAGCTGATTTAAGGGCAGCCTGCTCGGACTTGCCAGCAAGTTCATCTCACAAGGCACAGAGTGAGTGAGCACAGGGAGTTTGCTCAGAGCTCTGTGCCAGAGCTTCGTCCTCTTCCCCCAGAGCTGCAGGGAGGATTTGAAGGTGCTGTGTTTGCTGCTGACCTGGGAAAAATGAAATAAAAGAGTAGGACACAGCTCAGAAAGCAGGGAGCGACCTCATTCCGTGCAGGAGCAATCCCTTCATCACCCAGGGAGGCCTCAGGTTGTTCAAATCTGGTCTTCTTCAGTCTGTTGTGGGTTTAATTGTCATCTCTCCTTGTGGCAGAATGCTCCAGGAGGATGAAGAAGTGCATCAAATGTCAAGTGACAATAACCAAAAAGCTGAAACAAGGTATGTCGTGGCTGTCCTCCTGGTCAGGGCTGTGGGGAGGGGCCTGCACAGGCACCAGTGATTTTCAGTGAAATAAGAGTTCATTTATTTTGGCTTTTGTGTGTGTGTGTGTGTGCCTGTTGCATTATCCACCTTTAGAGAGGGAAAAAAAAGTAGATTTTAATAGATCTGCTCAGATGTCCTAAGCCAAGCTCAAGCTGTATAGACAGGACAGGACATTTAAGGGAGCTTTACCTGGGCCTGGCTTATTTTTTGTACTGAAAGCAGTCAGGTTTCACATGGGGTGGTTTAACAGTGAAAATCCATGAGGAAGGGAAATTTCACCTTGTGCAAGCCTTGCTTCTCCCCTGGCTGAGAAATCAGTGTCTGTGCAGGGCTGGCATGACCCAGCCATGCAGAAATCTCAGAGCTGGAGTATTCCAGTAAAGGTTTTCTGCCCAGATTTGTCTCCTGTCCACACTTCCCAGTGTCAGGATGAGCTGTGGTGGCAGCAGGGTTTGTTTTTGCCATGGCATTGATGCAAGTTGCCACTGAAACCTTTTCCAGAGTGGTTGTGAGGGCTGGGATCAGTCTCAGGGCACGTGAGGATTTAATTGCATGTCCTGCTGCTCGTGACTGAGCACTGTGGGCTTTTTTTTTTTTGGAGTCAGGCTCCAGCCTTGTGACTGGATGCCTGGAAAAAAAGCAGGAATCAGTCCCATGGCACTGGACATGCGCAGCTGGCAGAGTCAGAACTCCTCTTTGCAACTCCATCATGCCAAAAATACTACTTTTGACATGACAGTGGACAGGAGCATTTGTCTCTGCTGCAGACTGGCAGCAAAATAACGATGGGAATTCCAAAGAAGACATTTGCAGGCAAATTTCCAGTGGAGGAGGAATATCAAGGTCTCTGAAATACCAGCAGGATTTCCCTGGCAGTGATTTCTTCAGTGCTTGCCTTTGACAAACTCCCTGTCCCCAAGGACTGGATTTGAAATCACTTCTTGCACCACTGATGTGCTGCTAATTCCAGAATTAGGAATGGGACATCTGTAGTGAAATGTAAATCAATGATTCAGGAGCAGAAGATGAGCAGTGAGAGCTGCATTGAGAATATTTACCCAAACTCCAGTTATGCAGGATTTGGGATTCTTTCATTTCACATAGTCAACCAAATGACTCTTATTTATGTAAAACTCTTCATTTATATAAATGAAAACTGCTTAATTTATGTAAAGCTCAACACAAGTGTTCAGGTGGTTTCTTCTTGTTTGACCACATATGTCCTGAAAGACACACACTCATTTCTTAGACATTTCTTAGGCAGAAATTGGAGTTCCAAATGTGAGCAGGAGGCTGAGAGAACACAGTGCCCTGTCAGGATTCCTGGATTAGTGGGGCAGAATATCACAACCAACTTTGAATATTTGCACTTGACGTGAGCAGCATATTCCAGAGCACCAGGGCGGGAATCTCAGGCAGGATTTAAAGAAAACCCAAACCACCAAAGCATCCCAAACACACACAGACCACTGAGCAAGTCAAAGAAAAAAAGCATCACCCGAAGGATTTTTATTTGATCCCTGGCTGAGGCTGAGTGCAGTGTGAGTGGGATGCTGCTGGGAGGGGCAGAAGGGGGGGTTAATTGGTTAATTAGTTGATGTGAAAAATGCCTATTTTATGATTGGCTTTTCACTAATATTACAATGAATATTATATGTGTAATGTTAGAAAGTGATGCTGTATTAATTCTCTTAAGTAGTGTGTTAAATATAGTTTTAGGTTCCAGCATACTGTTAAAATAGAGACTATGTATGTGGGGGGAGTTGTTTTTTAAGGAATGAGATACTCGCTTCGAGGAACACTTAAATCTTCCAAAGAAAAGGAATTTACGGTTTTCTTATCAGAAGAAACTAATTTCTTCAGGCCTTGCTCAGACTCGAAGATGCCATGGGGATTAAAGGAAACAGTTGACATACAACAGACAGAGTTCTTGTTTTAAATAGAATGTATGCACAACCATGAAGGATATATGAATATGCAACAGTGTATTGTTTTAAGGGTTATTTCTTTGTTCACAGAACATGCTTTTCATGACTTAGTGTCCGAGAGCATCCTGACGTCCGTAATTCTTTGCTTTTTATTGTCTTGCAATTGCCCTAACTCTAAACGTCATTACTCTAATTGTATTACTGTTTTTATAACCATTTTATATAATTTGAAAACGCAAGCGGCGGGCGGTTTTGCACGGTTGGTTAACGCCGAGCTCTGCCCGCAGACAGCACGGAGGTGCAGTGCAGCCCCAGCTCGGAGGGCACGGAGCAGAGGAAGCTGATGGAGGAGCTGCAGAGCCGCTACCGGCAGATGGAGGAGAGGATCACCTGCCCCATCTGCATCGACGACCAGATCAAGCTGGTGTTCCAGTGCGGGCACGGCTCGTGCCCAGACTGCAGCACGGCGCTGACCGTGTGCCCCATCTGCCGCCAGGCCATCCGCGAGAGGATCCACATCTTCGTCTGAGGGCAGGGAAGCGCCCCAGGGACGGGCCAGGGGAGGAGGAGGAGGAGGAGGAGGAAGAGGAGTCCCCTCTGGGGTGTCCCAGGGAAGGGACAGCCCCTCCCTCATCTGTGCTGCTCATCCACCGCCACCACCGGACTGACCACGCTTCCAGAGCTGAGCTGAAGAGATCCTGGGGTGTCCCAGAGCTGAGCAGATCCTGGGGTGTTCCAGAGCTGAGCTGATCCTGGGGTGTCCCAGAGCTGAGCAGATCCTGGGGTGTCCCAGAGCTGAGCAGATCCTGGGGTGTTCCAGAGCTGGGCAGATCCTGGGGTGTCCCAGCACTGAGCAGATCCTGGGGTGTCCCAGGGCCATCCAGGAGTGTTCCCAGCTCCCCAGGAGATCCCTGGATCAGCTCTCCCAGGCCCAGCCCGGGAGGGGATGTCCCCCCTGCCCCTGGGGCTCAGCACAGCAGCAGAGCTGGAGTCAGGAGTCCTACAGACAGAGCGTGTGCCTTAGAGAAAAAGTAGTGAACACTGACTGGAGAAAATCTGTTACAACAAATATTTCTGACCTCTAAGTGACACTCTTCTTCTTCTTCTTCCATATTTTTTTTTTTTTGGCAGAGCCATGTGTTCAGAGACTCCTGAGCGTTCTATCCATAATGCCAAAGGCAGGTGTTAAATACTCCAATCAAAGTGTAAAGAAAATAAATAGTAAATAATTAAGATACGAGGGGGAGGAGGAGTTAAAAAAAAAAAAAAAGGGATTTCATTTTTGTTTTTTTGTTTTGCAGCAAAACTTAATAAAATAAAAATATATATTTTCCTGAGCATTAAAAATGAATGTACAAACAATAGCTGTATTGCTTTCCAGCTGAGTGAAGAATTATTACCCACTCAGTCATCCTGTAAAGTAAATTTTGGTGGAAGTGTGGCTGTTTGTTTGGGGTCTGGTGATGCCCAAACCTCCTGTTTGTTACCTATTGGAAGCAATATTTAAACAAACAAAACAAAACAAAAATTCCAGTGTTCCTCTACTCCTTTTGTTCGTTAGCAAAGAGGTGACAAATCTTTTAAAGAAATGTTGATGTGTGTAGAACGGGTGTTGGTTATGGGAATGTTTATTTATAACCCTGTGGTGTATTCAGAAAGTTATTTCACCAATTCTTGACTTCTAGAGATAATATTTATCCAAATATTCACTTGAGTTTGTTACAGTCTCAATAGGTTTTTTTTTTAAATCTGTGAAAGTGGATCAGATTTAACCCCTGAATTATTTGTTTGGCTCCTACTTAACACGCAAATAACCTAAAGCTGAATTTCAGAATCAGCTTTGTGTAAAAATCAGAGGTGCAGATTCTCATTATTTCCTAGAAATCCGTGCTGGTGGGAATCCCTTCGGAATAATCCAGAAATTTCCCCAAAATCTTTGCTGGGACAGCAAAACAAAATGCTCAAAAGTACAAATCTGAGCCAGCTTTATCCTGTAAAAGCTGCTTTTATTAACCACTTTTTGCTGAATAATTTTGCAGACTGTTTATTACCCCAGCCCAATGCTAAGCTTTTTTTTTTTTAAAATAATTTTAATAATTTATTTACAAGCCTCTCCATAGGAAGGATATTTCCCCATGTGTTGTATTTGTGCTGGCACCAGAAGAGAGGAGACAGAGGTGACAAAATGTTCAATATTTGTCATGTAATTCTCATCTCTTATTCCAAAGGTGTCCTTTTATTCAGGAAAAAACAACATGGAGCATCTGCTTAATTTTTTACAAATGGTTTCTTTGAGTGCTGAATGAAGAGAGGCTTCATCTCTCCTTTATGTTCCCACTAATCTGTGCTGCCCTCAGGATTTCAAGAGGATTGGTCCACCCACAAATGGATTATTAATATTAAATTAATTATAATCTTTAAAGTGTATTAAATTAATTATAATTCTAGTAAATTAATTATAATTTTATTAAATAAATTATATTAAATTAATACATTATTAAATTAAATTAATTAAAATAATATTAATATTATAGTACATTAATTATAATATTTAAAATAAGTTTTTAATACATCCCACCAGAGAACAGTGACCAAAATATCCCCACGCAGGGGAGCAGTTCTTAGTTCACTGTGGATTCACTTTGTTATCTGTGTTTTGGGAAACCTTTTTCCCTCATTTCATGCCCAGATTTCTGCTCTCAGGTCAGGACTGCAGGGCTGAGCTGGGTCAGGCCAGCGCTGCACTTCTGTGAGCAGCAGCTCAAGCTGGCACTTAAGCAAAATATTCCTTTTTCTGTGCCAGCTGGAGCTGTTTCCAGCTCATTTGTCATTCAGCAGAGCGTGGATTTTTCTAGGAACATCAGCAGATGCTGATCACGAGGGGCTGCAGTGGGAGAATTCCCTTCAGGCCCCAAACATTCCTGTTCTCCCCCTCCCTGGGGAGCACTGCTCCTCTTCCAGCACACAAATCCCTTTTTTTAGCCCGTGACCCACAGAAAAAACACCATTTTCCAGAGCCATTCCCACAGGAACCACGCAGGGATGTTGGGTTGTTGGTTTTGGTTTCTTCTCCCCCCAAGTTGGGAGCTGAGCAGTGAAATCTGTGCAGTGCTTTTTAAAGGAAGGCCTTGGGGAGGGTTTCCTGGTCCTGTGGGCCCAGGAGCTGCTCCCTGCAGACCAAATCCTGATCCTGCTGCCTTCAGCCATCAGATTTTGGGTCCTTCTCCTTTCCCCAGCTCCGTGTAGAATTCCCAAATCACCACAGGGGAAACTGATGGGGGTGTTTTGTTCCAGTGGTGAATAATTGGCTCTTATCCCTGGATAAATAGAGATTTCATGAGAGGTGAGGTTCCTTTGGGACAGTCAGACATCCTCACTCCCAGCACTGATGGTTCCTCTCCATGTAGCATCTCTCAGCACAGGTTTTGCTGTAATATTTGTTGTCACAGATGGTTTTTGTGTTATTTTGGGGACTGGGATGAAGCAATGCCAGTGTCCTGAGAAATGGGGCAGAGCTACTGGAAATTGTGTTGAAAATAACATTGAAAGAACAAAGAAAAGGAGAGAAACGCTAAAAAGAATCCATAGAGGTGAAAAAAAAATGTATTTTTGAGCTGAAGGCTGCCCTGGGGAAGGGAGCCATGTGTTGTGTGTTATGCACAGCCCTGCTTTAAACCAAACATTTCAGCAACAGAGGGAAAAGAGCAAAGCTGAGCTGGTGGAAGGAGGGGAATGCATCCTGCTGTGCACATCACCCCCTGCTTTATGTTCTCCACAGCCTCTCATTGCCCTCGGTGGGTTCTGTGCACCATTCCTCCCCTGCTGGCACTGCTTGGAGCTCCCCAGAGCTGGGGAAAATCCCTACAAAGCTCCCTAGAAAGGAGAATCCAAAGAAGACAAAGCAGGGTCGGTTCTGTGCCTGCCCTGCTCCCCTCTCCCCTTGTGGATTCCCTCAGTGTCAGGAGTTCCACGAACCAGCGCCAGGAATGTTCCTGCTGCCCAAACGGAGTCGGGATGACGGATCCTGCCTGGAGTCCCAACCCATCTCTCTGCTCCAGAACCTCTCAAGCAGCAGCTGAGTGTGGGGAGCATCTCCAGCAGTGTCACCCACCGAGGGGTTTGTGCCCTGGTGGCTCTGGAGGAGCAGGAATTTCATCACAGCAAGGAATTCCTGAGGCTCCCTGAGCTCCAGCAGCTGCAGCTGGGAGTCCTGAGTCCTCTCCTCAGCTGACTCTCATTGCCCTAAAAACCGAGGTTTGTCTTGGCCTCAGTGCTCAGCTGGTTTCTCAGCAAATATTTGCCTTGAACTTTAAGCGTTCTGCAAGCTCTCTGCAGCCAGGGGTTTGTGGGGCTGGAGGTGCTGAATTTCTGTCTGGATGGGCACGGTGTGTGTAGGGAGAGAAAGCAAAGTGCTTTCCAAGAAACCCTTCTGATCCTCCCAGGGATAACCTGACAGGGGAGCAGCATCCTAAAATGTCCCAGAGGTTTTGAATCAAATCTGCAGCCCTAAGTTCCCATCCAGCCAGCACAAGATAAAACAGATTGTGTGCAGCACAGTCTCTTCCCATTCAGAATCCTCCTGTGACTCATGGAAAAGGGTTCTCTTGGCTGTGCTAACCCTTAGTGGCTGCATGGAGAAGTATTCAGTGAGGTCCTAAAATTGCACTTTAGCTGTGCTGAGATGTATTTCACAAAAACTTGTACATTGTGAAGGAAATTCTTGTTCCCTTCAGGCTGTGCTTGTGTGAGTCCCCAATCAATCTGCTTAAAACTGGGGTTCTTCTGCTCCCCTTCACAAAAATGAGTGAGTGCCACAAAAATAAGGCACTGAGTGGTGCTTGGAGGGTTTCAGGTCCTGCCAGATTCCACGTGGACCTTGGGCAAATCTCACCTGCCCAGTGCTGGGTCTGAGCTGCCCAGGGTGCAGGACAAAGCCCTGCCCCAGGTCGGGATTAAACTGCAGGAGCAGAGGAGGGTGTGCAGTGCATGAAGTAAAATCTCCCTGCAGCACTGCTGAGTCCTGCTGGCTCTGGGAGAGGCACTGAAAGCTGTTCCGTGACTGAAACTCAATGTTCTTCCAGCTCGGGGTTTGATAACAATATTTTCCTTTCAAGCCAGTGCTGCCTCACTGGAGAAGAGCTCTTGGCTGGAGGTCTGGAGCCCCATTTCAAGGCAGGTTTTTCCTTCAAGACTCCCCTCTCCATCAGCCTTTTTTCTGTTCTCTGCAGGTTCTAAAAGAAACTTGGAGAATTCGGGCACTGGAGGGGGCAAAGATCAGTTGAGTTTCTCCCTTGGTGCTGTGATTGCAGCTCAGACCACAAACAGGGCTGGATTTGCATCTCCCAGGAGCTCCAAGTGCAGGATTTGTTCAGAGCCATGCACAGGCACGTTGCTTCTGCCAGCAGTGCTGCTGGGGAAGGAGGAAGCATCCCTAGAAAGCTGCAGCAAGCAGCAATTCCACAGGAGGAGAGCTCTGGACCCTGGGTTTCTGCTCTTCCTCCTGCTCCCAGCTTCCCTCTGTAATTCTCTCCATTCTTTCCTTGCCTGGTACTCCTTATCCTGTCCTTTTCCTGGGGTCTGAACCACTGCTGCACTTTGTGGTGGTTTTTCTTGTGTTTTTTTTTTTCTTTCTGAGAATTGAACAGGAAAATGTTCATGAAATTGTACACCCAGACTCACTGGCCTTATTTATCCTGAGTTGTTTAAAAAATTCAGGCCAGCTTGAGGCTGAAAATATATGAAACTATTAAAACATTGCAGGCTTGATTATGAACTAGGGTGGAAAAAATTCCAATTAAAGCATTTTTCATTATTAAAATTACAAGGCTTTTCTGAAACCTTTCAAATGCCTCAGATGCCCCCAAGGAATTCTTCTGTGACCTTCCCCCTCCCCTGGCATTTGCTGGTGGAACTGGGAGCCTGCAGAATTCCTCTGAGAGGGCAGAACCGGGGCTGAGTTCACCCCACCTCAGGACGAGACAGAAAAGTGCATCTCATTTTTCACCCTGAGCACGGCCTGTGACAAATGACGTGGAGCATCCCCAGTGACACATTCCAAGGGGGTGATGCTGCCCTCATGGATTCCTTTTGCTGCCCTCTCCCTCAGCTTTTTTTTGGGGTTTTATTTTTCATTATATGAAGCTGACAACTGCAGATTTGTTGCTCACACAGTTAAAGAGAAGAGTTCATGTCCACCCCAGCTTGTTTCACTTTGCTGCTGTTCCTCGGCCAGCCCAAATTTCAGCTGCAGTAACACGATCCCACTTGGCAGAGCCTGAGAGAATCTTTGGCACATTGGAAAGAGGCTTAATGTAAAGTCTACTTTTTTTTTTCCTTTTTCTTTTTTTTTTTTTCTAATTTTTTTCCCTTAGAGCTTTTTGAAACTCCCCTGGTTGTGCACAGCTCTGGCAGCAGCTGCAGGGCTGCTCACAAACGCTCCAAATGTGAGCTCAAGGATCACAAATGCGTTCTGTGCAGGGAATGTCTTGAGTGCCTGTCCCAAAAAATCCTCCAAAAACCCCTCAAGAA